AAACGTTAAACTTAGTTACCATCCGACCCAGTGATTCCACTGCTAGTTATCTACCTAAGAGAAATGAAAACATGTCCTCATAACAACTTTCACAGGAATGTTCATAGTAGCATTATGCATAACAGCAAAAAAGTGAAAACATCTCACATGTCCATAAACTGCTGGATAAACAAAAGATGGTATATCCATTCTGTGAAATGTTACTTGGCAATAAAAAGAAATGAAGTACTGATGCATGCATGGATGAACCCTGAAAATATTTTGCTAAGAAGCCAGTCACAAAAGACCACATATTGTATGTTTCCATTTATATGACATAAAACAGACAAATCCATAGACAGAAAGTTGGTTAGTAGTTGCCTAGGGCTGAGAAGTGAATGGATTGTGGGGAGGTGTTGAGAGGTGAAAGCTAAGGATGTAGGGTTTCTTTTTGTGGTAGTGACGACGTTCTAAAATTGATGGTGGCCGTGGATGCACAGCTCTGTGACTATACCAAAAACTTAACTCTTACAATTATAAATAAATTGTATAGTATGGGAATTATATTTCAATAAAGCTGTTATTAAATAAAAACAACTCTTTGCCCAGTGGACACTCAAACCTTTCCCCAAGATGGCTGTAAATTATCTTCGGATGGGAATGGGGAGGGCCTCCTTTGGTGCTAGCTCTTGATCCAATAATTCTGACGTCATCTACAAAACATTTACCTAGAAATGAAACTCAGCTCTTTGCTGAAGTTCTATCCTTCTAAACCGCCCTTCTTTCCCTTCCTAGGTAGCATTCATGATTTCACTGTAGATGGGGCAGGGGAGACAGAGGGATTGATACTACAGAAAAGTTGGCAGCTTTGAAAGTAACGTGAGGCAGCCTGATTTATAGAATACTCTTCATCCATTTCTTAACTGGGGATCTTCAGTCTTCTACACTCATGCCCACTATGTCCTTCAGGGCCTCTGCCTAGCAACTCTCCTCCCTTCCTGTCTGGAGCAAACCAAATTCTACCTAGCATCTCTCAGTCAGAGCTGTTTAGAGTTACACACATCTTTTGTGGCCTTGGTTGTCCCTTCCAAGGCTCCTGAGCTCACGTTCCACATGAAATGTATCAAGATATATGTGTGTGTGTTTGTTATTGAGACAGGGGGCCACCCTGTCTCTCTCTGCCGCCCAGGCTGGAGTGCAGTGGCACCATCACGGCTCACTGTGGCCTTGACCTCCCAGGCTCAAGTAATCCTCCTGCCTCAGCCTCCTGAGTAGCTGGGACTACGGGTGTGTGCCATCAGGCCTAGGTGATTTTTTAAAAATTATTTTTCTAGGCACAGGGATCTCACTATGATGCCCAGGCTGGTCTTGAACTCCCCAGCTCAAGCAATCCTATCTTAGCCTCCCAAAGTGCTGAGATTACAGACTTGAACTATCACACCCAGCCTATCAAGCT